AGAACTGGAATAACCCACCCAAATTTTACATCATCTATCTACTGGGAGGTACATTGGAATTCTAGAAATACTAACGTTCCTAATAGTATTGAGAACTTTGCTGAAAAACGTCTTGGAAGCAACAGCACAGAAATTATGCTCAATTTTAAGAGCTATAATTCAGATTCATTCCCCTGGCAGAGTATTCTTAAAAGGAGTATCTGAAGCATCAAATACATGTGAGAAGCAGACAATAGTGTATTACCACAATTCAAACCACATAAAGCACATACATCCAGGAGACATAGGAAGGAAAAAGTCAGGCAGACGCAACAGATACAGAGATACCAAAACACTCTACAGCTTTCCAAAGGAAAAAGCACTTCATTACATGAAAGACTACACATTTGCACCCTTCAAACTAAACCCCAACCTGTTTCAAGAATCAATTAACCAAAAAATTTTCAATGAGATGTTAAGGTGTTGGGTTTTGGGGGTTGCGGTTTTTTGGGGGAGGGAAAGGAGTGGGGTGTTTGGGTTTGTTTTGAGGTTTTTTGTTCTTGATTTTTTTTTGTTGTGTTTGGTTTGTTTAGTTTTTTTAAACAGAGGGAATCTTAGGATGCATATTAGCCAGCTAGAACACATAATTTACTTCAAGAGACACATCAGCTTAATGAAGTTACTAAAGGAAACTTGCATTTCATTGTTAATTGGGAATGATCTACACTGAGCCTGACCCTCCTTTGCCTGCCAGACCATCAACTCTTATTCTGAAGCCCTGCAGAATACTGAGCCAGTAGTCCTCTTTTTTAATAATCATCCTGGCTAGATCAGCAGATGAAACAGAACTTTAGATCAGTGGCAGGTCTCCCAAGTTCCCACGGTGCCATAGATTTACTAAATGGGATCAGCATGTTCTAAAAACCCATGATAATATGAGGGAAAAAGGTTCCACAGCATCAAGCAGTGCAGTGCTTGAAACCTCATAATCAAAGTGACAGTTTTCAAGTGCCATTTACAATGCCCTAATCTGGAAACATCCCAGCTAACCCATCTGATCAACTATTTCACAGATGGAAGCACTTGATGGCTAATTGGCAAGTCCATTATTCAAATAAAATAGCTATCTGCACTTCTATTTTCTATATTCCAAGTCAAGGTGTAAACACTCCTTATATGACACAGGTCATTTTTCTGTCTCTCCCTACCTTCCCATTTGGATTTTTTCCCTTCCCCTCTGCCATCAAATATGTTAATTCAGAAATACAGAATCAGTTTTATTTTCCATTTATTGCAGTAGAACAGTTGTCTGCACCAACAGAGCAATGCAAATGAATATTTTCAAAAGTCCATCAAGTAATAAAAAATTACTTCAACAGCATTTTAAAAGTGTTATTAATTATTTCACTGCTTTCTATCACATCTGGATTCAGAAAATTAGACACGATGTGTTAGCATGGACCAGAACTTGGATAGCTTGGATTATTGTTCTGAAAGTATTGGGGAGAGAGAGCTCTGCTAAAAATGCACTTAATTTGCTCACACTCTTCAACGACATCCAGTACAATTGCCTAACAGAGGCATATGTGGAACTGATTTCACTAGCAAACAATAGTTCAGCGTACAAAATGAAGAGGAGTGTTGCTCCGAATTCCTGCCTGCTACATAAGTAGAATGCTTTTACGTACCCCACAAAGCCTGTTAATTTGTCTGCAGCAAATGTACAATGCAAGCTGAAGTATTAAATCACTAGTGAAATTCTGTGATAGGCAGTATTCCAGGGGGATGAACAGGGAGGGATGGAAAAGAATGAACCAGAAAAGGGAAGATAACTAAAAAAAAACCAAACAACACGACAAGGGGCAGGAAGAGAAGAGACCATACAAGAGAATGAAAACAAAGGCATTGCCAAAATCTGAATTCCCATGAACTACAGAAGGGAAATGAATGTAATAAGCATTTTATTTGGGACATCACACCACCTTCAAACTAACTGTTCCCCTACATCTCCTTTAAAAAGCTTCAATCACTTCTTCTTATGTGTATAGCATGACAGCAGAAATTCAAATGCCTGCAATACCAGGCACGTAAGACACAAAATTTTTGCATGAAGCAGTGTTGCAAAGAAGGTCTTTATTTACGGTATCAAGTTCAAAACTAAACATGGGTGCCTTCCCATACAAAGAACACAAAGTTAATGACCAAGTTCACTGCCAGAAAATACTGTGGATGGCTTATGTGATGCCAAAAGCTCTTCCCTCCTTTCTTGTCCACTTGCTGCCCCATGGAGACAGTCCTTTGTCCATCTAAGACTAAAAGAGAGGAAATGGCCCAAAATTTCTAAGCCACAAGTCACTTGAGGGGAAGTTTATTGTTGAAATATCACTAAGATCACTTCCTTAAAGATTTGTTTATTAGCAATACGAAGATGGGTTTAGGGTTGATGGAATTTAGCACCAACCACCTCTGGACAACTGAACATTGAAGGCCAATCAGCCACTCAATGGCATGCTGAAGGAGCAAGTAGTAAGAAAAGCAAAGAACCGTGAATTCACTGAAAGCAGTTGTCAAGTGGAATACAAAACACCAAAAGACTTGAAAAGAAAGTTGTAAAAACATGAATCCAAAGAGCACTTGGGAAAACATTTGAGTTTGGAAATGGAGGGGAAAAAAAATCCAAACAAGATAATAATCAGAAGAGGCCGTTTTGTCAAGGGGAAAGAGCCAGGTACCTGCTATTGAAGAAGCTAAGGCAAGTCAATGAGAAAGAATTCCTTGGCAGAGATGAAATAGGAACTGTGCTGACCAGGCATTTGCTGTTATTTGAACATTAGTTATGAAGCAAATCAAACAGACTGCTAGCAGACGTTATGTGATGCAGTCCTCTTGCTAAGCAAACCCCTAGCTAAAAGGAAAAAAAAAAATCCCCAAATTGTGTTATAAAATTACTCTGAAAAAGCTTCTTTCTGCAAGACAATACACACAGATGATTCTTACGTTACCAAGAATGATTCACTCAACAGATGTTTTTACTATGTTCAACCTTAAAAGCAAAGCCTCCAAAGACAGAACAAATGTGACACTGCAATAAGAAAAACCAAAAGCTTTGTAGAGTTGTTTAAAACACTCTAGCACAAACAAATGGTAATAACTTTGTTTACTTTCTAGCAGGACAAAGTATGCCCAAGAAATACCTGACTTCTCTCTTCCACCTCAAAGTCGTCTGATTCACTCTGGACTATCTCAATTATCAATGAATCAATATTCTGAACAGAAGTGACCTTTGAAGGTCCATTGAAACACTGTATTTTAAGGACATAAAATCCTTCTTTTTGAAAATCCTTCCTGATGATTCAATAAACCAAAAGACTACAAAAGTGGTCAAGTTACCCAGTACAAGCAGCAATTTGCATAAAGAACAATTCAGTTTTCCGCTTTTTTTTTTTAATCCAACACATACTCATCAATTAATTTAAGAGACAATTCCATATTTAAACAAACACAGAGCAGCTTTGCAAGCCAGAGCCACCAGAGTTCAGTGAGCTTCCTCTGAATGTTATGTTCTATTGTCTGCCACAATTTTCTAGCAAGCTTTAAGTTAAAGCTGAGAAATTCAGAAAGCAGCATAGAGTTAACTGTAAATTTGAAAAACAGCTTTGATATGCGTCAAGTTCAGAGAGGACTAAGAAGTGAAAGCTTGAGTGATTAGACTGCGCAGATGTTAAAAAAATGAAGAGTCATGAAGCAGGCTGGCAGCTCAGAGGAACAAGAGAAATAACTGTTTAAGAAAGTGAAACTAAAAATAACTGAGGGCTGCTTGAAGATTCACTAAGAGAGCGTGAATAGAATTTTAGCTATAAAAAGGAAAAAAATTGTGCACCAAAAGTTACAGCTTATTTGGCAAAATACCTAGAGCCTGTAAATCAGCTTAGAATATTTCACCAAATGCTTCAGTATTAAACCAGTTATACTGGACACAAACGCACTACACCTGTCAAAAGAAGCTGTGGGTTTAGCAATTTCAATCATCCCAGAAGCAAACTCATACATCACACACCATGAAGCCTACAACAAACAGAACTGATTCCTCCAGAAGAGAAAGAGTCTGGATTCTCGATTTAGAACAGAGCCCTGGAAGCAGATGCAGAGAGCAGAGAAAGGCCAGCTACTGCAACCAGCCAAAGCTACAAAGGAAATTACACTGGAGCCCTTTCCTTAAGGAAATAATGCTTCCTACAAGCCTCAAAAAAGTACCTAACCGTTTGTTTTGGGGTTTTTTTCCCCTGTATCCACAGTAGTCAGCACAATGTAACCAAGATCAGCTTGGTTTTATTTTTGAAGACTGCTGGCAATACTAGTTGGCCAAGGAAAAAAGCACTAGGACTTGCTCTAGTGGTAGAAGCTGCCATACAATGTGTGTAGGTCTGGAACAGAACAGCAGCCAGGGAGGCCTTCTTGCTGTCAGTAGAGTTACAGAAGTGAGGACAACAGCAAACAAGAGAAGACACAATAAAACACACATATAGATGGCTACAACTACCTCCAAGTGATAAATTCAACTCAAATTCCCTCCTGAAATTTACATATACTTCAGCATCTTATAGTGCCCATCACAACGTGATCCAAGGACTAAAATATATCATTTATGAAGGAGCAAGTTGGTATGCTCAGCCGTTTAGAACAATCTTCATGTTCTGAAAATCTGTATTATTGGAAATTGATTTTTTAATTTTATTCTGTGTTTCCAATGCTTTTCAAGCCAAACTTTAAAATGTTCAGACACCAAATGAAAGGTTTATAAACATTCTGTAAATTCAGTGCCAACATAAGAGTTCATACTGACAAAAAAAAAAAAACAGTCAGGCTGTAACAATGATTTGCATACACTTATATAGCATCTCTAGAGTCAGAGATTATTATTATGAGCTCTGTTTTTTTGATGCTGTTTTTAAATATAATAAAAGGAATATTCCAGAATTTATTAATATTAAAGAGAAGATATTGATAAGCTATATACTAACCTGTCCCAGCCCAGGCATACCTCCTCCAAGTCGCAGAAGTCTATCCATATTTCTAGAAAAGCAGAAACAAAGGAAAAATGTTCCCAAGCTCTGAAGTGTTTACTAAATTGCTATCTATATAATTCACCTTCAGTCACTCAGTATGTCAAAAATATTGGTGGTAATTACAACACAACATCAGACTTCCTGTTAATTAACACCACATATTAATTCAAGAAGCTGTCTTCCATGCTAATTAACAGACCTTGTTTTATTGCTTTGGTTTTGGGTTATCCCCATTTCTGAAGACGAGCTCTCTTGTCAAACTTTTCAAAACTTTCCTATCATTCAGTTAATTGGGGGATTTTTGTTGCTTAAGAAAGCACCTACATCCAGGAAGTGCCTAAAACTTATTAGATATACAATCAAGTTTACTCTGATTTGTTTCAGAAAGCTTCAATAAAAATGTGAAAGTAAGGATTTTAGCATCCTCATTAGTAAGTTCTGCACTAATTAACTTACAGCTTGTCAGTTATCATCAAAACTACATGTGAAAGACACTGAGCAGATTATGGATCTCTGAATTAGCATCAAAAGCTTTTTTTAATGAACTCATTATACTAAAAGAAATACTGTAAAGTAAACATTTAATGTGTATATAGTTAGAACACTAGTGACAGTACAGTCATTTAATACATTTCCAGCGTTGCATGCGCCATTGCTTTAGTGCAAGATTACTCCAATCAATGCAACTGAATTGTTACTTTAAAAAAAAAACAAAAAAAAAAAACACAAACTTTTCCATCTTGCAACTTCCGAAAAAAAAAAAAAAAAAAAACAAAAAAACCCACAAACTTTTCCATCTTGCAACTTCCGAAGGAATAATAACTGTTAAGGTGCCCAACTTAAAAAAAAAATACATCAAAATTTATTCACTTGCTAGGGTTGAAAAGCAATCTACTATTTAATTGTGGATATCTAAGTAAGGGTTCTGTCCCAGCTGTAACAGACCTTTATCTTGCTTACTTGGCTTTTTCAACTTCTTAGCTTTATACAACAAAACTCAGAGATAAAATAACCAAAAACTACTGAATATTACATTTTAAACAGCTGCTTTCAGCAAATCAAGCCACTTCCAAGGCTTACAGGGATTAGTAAATTTCACTGTCTTCTTTTATTTATGAAATAGAAGATACAAAGTAAAGCATCAGAAACTGTGATCTTAATTGCACAAGCTTTAATACAACACAACAAAGCCTATTCAGGTGATATAAGAGCAATTGAGAAGAGCAAGTAATGGTATTTCCAAAACACATCCACCCTCCAAATGGATGTTACTTTACACATAAGAAAATTACATACATAATTTCAACAGACTGCATTAACAATACTAATTCAAGAACCTTCTTTTAAAATTAATTATGCAAAAAAAGTTTGAACTTATAATGAAAAATAAATTTGCTTTGTATATTAAAAATAATAAAAGTCTTTATGTTGAAGGTGAATGTCATCTCATTATTCCTTCTGAAATTTGCTAACGTTTTTACAGGCTTTATTTCAGTTTAAGGTTAAAACAAGTATTTTAAGCTTCTTGTTAACACACAAGGACACAGCATTTGAACCTACCACTAGACAAGATTATCTAACCCCTACTTTAATCATGTATGGAATTTCACCCATTTCAAACAACATCATCTAAGACACATGGATCAATAACACTTACTCTGTTTGCTAATTTCACTTTCCTAGTTTAATGCACCAGCAAGCTATTAGCTTCATTTGATTCACTCTCTTGATTTGTAGAACATGCAAACCCAACAACTGCAGCCTCAACTAACAATAAGTACTTTCTTAAAGCTACCTTGGCACTATATGAATTAAAAAGGAGTCATTAAAGGGTGAGCGGTTATGCTTTTATTTTTAGACAGTCATTGAAACCAAGCTTCTTTATTACAGGCAAAAGCTGCACACAAAGTGTATGTACTTTCCTATCCTGAACTTCAATAAATTCCAAATCAAGTTGTAGGATTTCCATGGAAAGGTTAAGTTGCTGTTTAAAGCTATTATGTAAGCACATGGTAAATGGCTTCAATAAAACAGTCACGAGTACAAATTAACGCCAACTACACTTCATTTTACCCCTCTGTGGTAGATACTCCTCCATTGAAACCCACAATGATTCATCTTTCATGACACTAACAAGGGCTGAAGAGTAGCTGAGAAGTAGATTTAAAGTACTAAAATTATGATTTTAATCAATCATGGTTACACGTTTATTTTAAGAAACTCTTAGTCTCTACAACTGGTAACCATAAAACTGGTCTGTCCTACAACTACAGCAATTTCCCCAACCTGATGAGGTGTATTACCTATGTACATTTAAGAAATAATAACAAATAACAAATCTTACACCTATTTACATTTCACTTCAGCAAGTGAAAAGCAATAGTTATTTCTAGTTCATTAATATTTTATTTACAGAATTTATTCCAGTTTCTAACCCAACAGAATAGTACATCATTTATAGAAACATATTTTGCTGTATTAAAGCTGGATTAGACTAATTATTTACACAAACAGATTATTTACCAGCATAACTTTCCACGTTTTGGAACAACAAAATCTCATTGCCTTACAGAACTGGAGGGGTGCAGTATCTCCCACCTAACTATCAGAGACTAGCCACTGAATTGAAGATGTTCAGATTCTGAAGGCAGTAGCACAGAGAAAAAAATCCCCACAAACCTTATTTCACTATATCCATGGCTTGACTCTGGTTAGAATTTTGGCAACTAATGCTTCACTTTCTTATTTGTAATTGGAGGTGTTTTAGTAGGTTATAGTATATTTAGACCTAAACATATTTGTTTACACATATAAACATCTGAAGAATTTAGGTTAGCGATCCAAATTAAGACCAAATCAAATTTTTGTTAATCCACTGTGCCCAAATATTACTTCAGACATAAATTCCGTTTATAAAACAATGCTTTTGTAAACCTTAAAATAGCTTGAGAAAAATGTTTAGACCTTAATTAAGATAACTTCAGCATTTACAAATAAAGCAAATACGCATTTCCAACCTGGTGCTCAGCAAGAGGTGATAGCAGAACAAGCTCAGCAGCAGCTCTCACTTTTTGACTATGAAGATGATGCCAGTAGGTCTCTTTCCTATAGAAGGAAACAGAAAAGAAGGGAAGGGCAGAAAACCAGTAAAATTTAGACACAAGTAGCACATGTAAAAAGAAATGTTACATTGATGACCTACAAAAGGACAAAGCACCATTAAAGGATAACTCAAAGAACACTTTTTTTTTTTCTTGTACCATATAATCCCTGGAAGCAGTACGTATCATGTCTTGCCCAAGTATCCATAATGCTGAAAGAGATTTCCAAGTTTCTCAAAATTACATGGAAGAGTAAAGTATTTTAATAACCCATTTAAGCAATTTAAAGCGGGAATGCACCCCGCTGGACCTGTTGTTTGCCAACAGAGAAGGACTTATGGGTGATATGACAGCCCTGTTTAGGGGCCCAGTTGACAGAGTCCCTTGGGAGGCAATCCTGAAGGGCAAAGGAGTCCAGGAAGGCTGGACATTCTTCAAGAAGGAAATCTTAGAGGTGCAGAGGTGCAGGAGCAGGCCAACCCCACATGCCAAAAGGTGACCCAGTGGGGAAGACGACCAGCCTGGCTGAACAGAGAGCTTTGGCTGGAACTCAGGAAAAAAAGGAGAATTTATGACCCTTGAAAGAAGGGGCAGGCCACTCAGAAGGACTACAAGGATGTCATGAGGTTATGCAGGGAGAAAATTAGAATGGCTAAAGCCCAACTAGAACTTAATCTGGCTCCTGCTATAAAAGACAATAAAAAATGTTTCTTTAAATATATTAGCAACAAAAGGAGGGCTAAGGAGTTTCTCCATCCTTTATGGGATGTGGGGTGAACCATAGTGACAAAGGATGAGGAAAAGGCTGAGGTACTTAATGCCTTCCTTGCCTCAGTCTTTAATAGTAAGACCAGTTTTCTTGGAGTACCCAGACCCCTGAGCTGGAAGACAGGGAAGGGGAGCAGAATGAAGCCCCCATAATCCAAGGTGAAATGGTCAGCAACCTGCTACACCAACTTAGATATACACAAGTCTATGGGGCCAGATGGGATCCACCCAAAGGTACTGATGGAACGCCCAACAAAGCCACTTTCCATCATTTATCAGCAGTCCTGGATAACTAGGGAGGTCCCAGTTGACTGGAGGTTAGCAAGTGTGACACTCATTTACAAGAAGGGCTGGAGGGAGGATCTGGGGAACTACAGGTCTATCAGTCTGACCTCGGTGCCAGGGAAGGTTATGGGGCAGATCATCTTGAGTGCCATCATGCGGCACGTACAGGACAACCAGGTGATCAAGCCTAGTCAGCACGGGTTTATGAAACACAGGTCCTGCTTGACTAACCAGATCTCCTTCTGTGACAAGGTGACCCACTTAGTAGATGAGGTAACGGCTGTAGGTGTTGTCTACCTGGACTTCAGTAAAGCCTTTGACACCATTTCCCACAGCATTCTCCTGGTGAAACTGGCTGCTTGTAGCTTGGACAGGCATACTCTTTGCTGGGTTAAAAACTGGCTGGATGGCCCGGCCAGAGATATGGCAAATGAAGCTAAATCCAGTTGGCAACCAGTCACAAGTGGTGTTCCCCAGGGTTCAGTGTTGGGGATAGTTCTTTTGAATGTCTTTATCAATGATCCAGACAGGTGGATCAAGTGCACCCTCAGTAAGTTTGCAGATGACACCAAGTTGGGGGGGAGTGTTGATCTACTTGAGGGTAGGAAGGTTCTACAAAGGGATCTGGACAGGCTGGATCAATGGGCCAAGGCCAACTGTATGAGGTTCAACAAGGCCAAGCGATGGGTTCTGCACTTGGGTCACAACAACCCCATGCAACACTACAGGTTTGGGGACAAGTGGCTGGAAAGCCCCCCAGTGGAAAAGGACCTGGGGGTGTTGGTCGACAGACAGCTGAATATGAGCCAGCAGTGTGCCCAGGTGGCCAAGAGGGCCAATAGCATCCTGGCTTGTATCAGGAATAGTGTGGCCGGCAGGAATAGGGAAGTGATCGTCCCCCTGTAATCAGCATTTGTGAGGCCACACCTCAAATACTGCGTTCAGTTTGGGGCCCCTCAATACGAGAAGGACACTGAGGTGCTGGAGTGTGTCCAGAGAAGGGCAACCAAGCTGGTGAAGGGTCTAGAGCCCAAGTCTTATGAGGAACGGCTGAAGGAGCTGGGATTGTTTAGCCTGGAGAAAAGGAGGCTCAAGGGAGACCTTATCGCTCTCTACAACTACCTGAAAGGAGGCTGTAGCGAGGTGGGGGTCACTCTCTTCTCCCAAGTAACAAGCAAGAACAAGGACAAGAGGAAATGGCCTCAAGTTGCATCAGGGGAGGTTTAGATTGGATATTAAGAAAAATTTCTTCACTGAAAGGGTTGTCAGGCATTGGAACAGGCTGCCCAGGGAAGTGGTTGAGTCCCCATCACTGGGAGCTATTTAAAAGACAGGTATACGAGGTGCTTAGGCACATGGCTTAGTGGTGGACTTGATAGTGCTAGGTTAACAGTTGGACTTTATGATCTTAAAGGTCTTTTCCAATCTAAACAAGTCTATGATTCTATAATCAATAATTTAAAATGCTGTTTTAAAATGGTCCTTTATTACTATTTTAGAAGATTTTGCCGTAGCTAAGATGAGCTAAGCACAAAGGTAAAGAGCAGTCTGCAGTTATGGACAGTTTTCTTGTTTGTTTCTGCAAGAGCAGCTGGTGTGACCAAGAAAGTCATGGAGGCCTTTAGGTTTACCTGAATTCAGGTTGAGAAAGGCTGCTTCACATTCTGTTTAGGAGTTAAAAGTCATGTTCTTTTCCTCCCAGAGAACATTGCCCACTAATTTAATCCACTCAATCATTTGTAGTGTAGTGTTTTAAAACAGATCTGTGGCCATGATTTGACAGACATTTTTTTCAATGTCAACGTTAACATAAGGAGCAGTGGGGAAGCTGCTGCTGCTGCTTACCAACTTGATGCTGCCTTCTCAGTACTGCCAGGACAGCCATTTGTGCAGCCTTGCAGTAAACTGATAGGCTAACAGAAATGTTTTTTACCCTGTTCACTTCTCTGAGAGGATTCACTCTGCATCCCAGAAACAGTTAATTGTCTTGATATAGCAGAAAAAGAGGTCTTAGAAGAGCCAATTCCTTCTAATGCTAATCCAGACTCCAGAAGACATTTATGTCAAATCATTCCCCAAGCTAAAGCTGCCCAAAGAATGTCTTTGGGTTTGGTTTCGGGTTTTTTGTTTGTTTGGTTTCTAGTAACTGAGGAAATTTAACAGAGATTGTTCTGACCCTTATCTCAAAGAAGCACAAGAGCAAAAGGAGATGTGTGACATCTTCTCAGAAAGTTAGAGGCGAAAGAACAAGTCAGAGTTACTCAGTGCTGACAGGCTGGGGTGGAATTCCAGTACGAAGTCAAAAGAAAAATTGCTGCATTTCTGCAAGCTTTACACAGGGAATTGATCCAGGAGAGGTCAGATGAGCCAGGACCACAACAGCCAGCAGTTACATTAGCGCAGGCTGCAACAGAACTGCAACCAGTTCACAAGCGGGCTTCAGAGTTACAACCCAATTCACTTTTAGCCAGCTGGCCACCCATCTCCATTTCCTACACAGATATTAAAAAACCCGATCTCCATGAGCTTGATTGGTTCCCTGGGGGAGGCACACAACATGGTAACCTATAGTTGAGAATTTTTCCTCTCTCTGCTGCGAAGTGCAAAAGGCTAGTTTTCATTACATGCTTAGCTGTTTTTTTTCCCTTATATATACAGACATATATACTTAAAGATATATATAAAAAACAGAGGAAAAGTTAAGAAACAGTTCACAGTAAGTCTCACCTCCTTTCCTTCCAAAGCCAGCAAAAGGTATTTTGATAATATTTCCTTCTGCCTGCAACAAAGAGTTAACAGTCTCCGTTTAAAGTGAAGCTTTAAGGAAGTGAGTACATGTATCAAATAGCTCCGTATCAGAAAACTGCAGAAGGCCAGTTATAATAATAATAAACTTGCATTTTGGTGCACTGCAGGATTTAGATGACATGCACTCACGATTGATCTCAATGTGGTCACTGATGGCTTAAAAAAAAAAGTTTAGTAGCTTCTCTGTTTGTGTATGTCCATGATTGAAACACATCAGCTAAAAAAAACTGATCATAAGATAGTATTTAAAAAATCCAAACTGCCATTACTGCAATTTTCTTTGAACTGTCCCGGCCTCAAAAGTCTGTGGTTGTTAATAATGCAGTGGAAGTATACACAGAGCATCTCAAAACTGATCTGAAACCAGAAATTTTTTTAAAGCCTATGTCTAACGTTTGTTCGTAATACTGCTGTTGGGTAACTGTAATAATTGGCAAGAGTTGTGCATTTGGAGAGTTCTGGTTCACCACTCAGTTGTTGGTTACTACTTTCAAGTCACTTAAATGTTGACTTAAATGCTGACTTTTAATAGTAAAAACATTTTTCGTTAGGTAACATAGGGATGAAATTATATAAATGCATTATGCACAAATGTATATATACATATAGGTATAAACCAATAGATACTTGGCATGTTTCAACAAGTATTTTGAAATCGACTTGAAACACAGTCTTAAATTACTGTGTCTCTTTGCATGAGACACATGAGTTTCACACCACGGTGCACTATTTTTATCTAGCATTAACACTTCATGATGCAATCCCTCAACGAAAGAGGGTTTTCCTGGGCTGATAACTTTTGAGTTAGTCCAAAATAAAAATTTAAAAAAATTAGCTTCTACAGGGAAGAGAAAACACTGGCTACTAAACTGCTCTATTAGTGGAGAGAGTGTCAGGCTAGGCTCATGTGACAGCAATTTACTCCACACTTTGCGATTTGTACACTGAATGACTTCATGCAAATAATTTCATCTCTGGTAACTCAGTTTCTCCACCTGAGACTATATACTAAGCTTTGTATAAGCACTTCCAGATCTCCTGTTGAGATGTTCTACATAGCAGATGGATTAACAATTTTATTAACAGCAACTAAAAAAAGTGGTTTAAGGTTTTTGCTGCAACCAGAACAATTTCTAGGC